GCGGGAGGAGAGAGGGAGGGAGACGGTGTTCTGGCGAAGGAACACCGGCGAGCAGGTAAATCCTGATGCTGTGCAGCCGCTGCACGTGCTCCCCTCCCCCCAGCTTCGGCACTGGCGCTGATGACCCCTCCCACTCACTGCTCTGCTCGGACACGCTTAGGTCCGTTAGAGCAGGATGATTGTGTGCGGGCCCGCTCCTTCCTCTCTGGCCCCCTCAACAGGCGGAACGCCAGGGCCCGTATATGTACCATCAGCTATAGAGGACCACAAATCTCAGCAATACATTATACACTGTATGCATATTGTGTTGCTGGGATTTGCTGTATTCCTCTATAGCTGGTGGTATTCTGCATTGTGCTGTATAATGTATTATTGCTGGGATTTGTAGTCCTCTATAGCCGGTGCCATTCTGCATTGATTGCTGTATAATTTTACATTTCACTATAATGCACAGCACACTTTTTTGTTGTTGCTTACACCGCTCCAAGCTTGACTGCCGTGATTGGCTCAGTGTTCCCTGTACAGCGCTGCGGTATGTCACAGCTATATACATTTATAATCATAGTGTGCGATTGTGGGGGGACATTAGAGTGTAAGCTCCTATGTACAGAGACTGATGTGACTGTGGGGGGGACATAAGGCTGCCCTGTAAACAGTATATATAGGGGGTTATGCACAAAGCTGCCATAGGCAGCCGAGTGAATAACCAAACGGAAGTGAAGTGAGCCGAACGCTGTTCGGCTATTCACTTCAGGCTTGTACAGTTGATTTCAGCCTTACACCAACTAAAATCTGCCGTACATCGGCTGGCTTCGTGTCGGCCAAACATGCTCAGCATGTTCGGCCGACCCGAGGTGCAGAAGGAGTTCGACTCAGCCGATCCAACATCTGGATCGTCTGGGCCGAACCTCCGGCAGGCTACTCGCTGCTGTTCGGCCTATTCTCATAGATGCCGAACAGCAGTGACTGAATAGACGAATGCCACCAAGCGACATTTGGCTCGGCTATTCTGCTTGGTACATTCTGTGGTACCGAGCAGAATAGAAAAACAGTTTAAAAAAGTAGGAAAAAAAGAGAAAACGATTGGGCAGAGCTAGCAGTGACAGCTAGCTCCACCCAACTGTTTTCTATTGGCCGGGACCAGCTGTCATTACAATGAGAGCTTGTCGGAGCCGGCGGTGGTATCAAAGCTTGTCGGAGCCGGCAGGGGATCCTTTTACTAGCTTCGTCCTGGGGCCGAAGGATCAGCCGAAGCTACGGCTAGATCCTTCGGCAGCTTTGTGAATAACCCCATCGTTTTTTTCACTTTATTTTTTTCGCGTTAAAGGTCTGAATGTGGTCAGTGGAGGTCAGATCCAGAACCCCCATGCAGCTGTTCAGAAGCAGATTACTTCTAATAGTTATGTACATATAGCTGCAATCAGTCAGCAATAGATGACTAATGCAGTGATCTACTGTTGCTGAATAGGAGTTTGGTAATGCCATGCATGATGTCACTGCACCTCCAATGTAAACAATGCAACAGCTTTCACTTTTTATTTTATAGTGCGCTCCTATGCAGTGGCCTGTAAAAGCATCTGAAGTCCAGGAGCTGATCGTTTCAGCTCCTGGGCTCAGTGCTAGATGCCTCCAACTTCACCCGCGACGGGACGTGCGGGAGCTGCTGATTTTTGCTGTCCTATTAAAACAGCACTGGGACAAAAAAAACACAATCCCAGCATCATTTCAAAATGGTGGCCACAACTCAAGAGATTTAACAAGTCTCAATAATAAGGATTATTTTTGATAATGGGATTGTATTTGATTTTGGCAGGCCTGTATCATTTGTACCGAGCAGCAGTCATCTTGTTCAGTTTATAAAGCACTTCATCATTTACAATTTATCCTTTAAATTCCCCTTTTTTTAGTATATGCATGTGAAAAGGCATGTTACAATAGACTATGTCCTTGTAAGACAATACCCACCTTTCACCATGTTCACCAATTATGGCATCATTGTGTCACACGTTGTGGAATGCACTTTCTTTAGTATACAGATACTGCCTCTGCTATAAAGGGGCCTGGCGGCCATGTTTGCCCCCCAGTTTAAAAGTTCCCAGTCCTCTATATGTTTCTAAATGGGAAAAAATAGGCCAGATGACTTTCGGCATGGTGAAGGGAGAAGACACTTGCGAAGGAGAGGGAAAGAAGTTATTATTGTTCTTTATCAAAAGTAAAAGAATGAAAGATCTTCTCTCTACTGTTTAGGTGTGTTTTGATGCTGTGTATAAAAAGTTGCCACATAGTGTCATCATGATTACTCTGACTCAAGCACTGCGTTCTGCAAATGCACATGATGAAATTTTCCTGCACTAAATCGTATGACTGTACATTGGTCACACAAGATTTTCCAGAGTGCTTGGAATTTGTGTGCATAGGTGGCATATTCACATCCTCTTCACCCGTGTTTCTCAGCTTCAGATTTCACATAACCATAACAAGTCTAGGAATTTCCATGAGTGTAAACGGCTGTGGCAACTATTGATCAAGAGATAAAAATGAGTAAGTCTAGGCAGGAATTAAAAATAAAATCACCAGTTGGGGATCATTTGAGGACCGTAGTTAAGGATTAGGATTACTTATAGTGATGCTCAGAGCAGTTGTGGGAACCTTATGAAACCCTACCACATACAGCAGGCACATGCTTAGGGAGAAAGAGGAAGCTCTAGCTGCTTAAGCATCATCCCTACCTATTTGCTAGCAAAAAGTGCTCTCTTGAATGTTATAGTCTGCTGATGAAATTAAAACAAGCTAATGGTATCATGATCACTTCTACTAGGAGGAACCACCCCCCCCCAAAAAAAACCACCCTAGATAAACACGATATACCCACACAAATTTAAAATGTATGTAAAGGCCACTCTTTATTTAGTTAAAGTCAGGAATTGTCATTTTTGCTGTGTCCCATTCCCATTGTCCTCCGTGGATGATTTACCCTCACGTTTTACTCTGATGACAACTCTCAAATATTGGATTTCCCCTTGCTTTTTTTTCAGTGACAGGGGGGGTCACATAGAAAAATAGAGGGGTGAATCTTCCCAATAGGTATACAGATAGCAATAAAATCTTCTCAGACAGTCTAACAATTCTCTACTTTATCCAAGGCCAAAAAAAAACAGTTTTTCTTTTACAAACACTTTAGTTCTAGTTATTTTTGTCACTTTTAGGCCTTGTTCACACCAAGCGCGGAGCAGATCCAGAGCAGAGCAGGTGCAGACCTGATCAAAACTGCGTCCAATGTAGTCCAATGGTATTTTGGGCTCCAGTTCACATTGCAGCGTGCAGATCCATAGCAGATCCAGAGCAGGTGAAAAAACTGCGGCAAGCCCTATTTTACCTGCTCTGGATCTGCTCTGGAACGCATCAAAAACGCATGCAAGTGCCTGAAAGCCCATTTTTAACCAAAAACGGCCCGGAACGCATCAAAAACGCGGCAAAAACACATCAAAAACGCGGCACAACCCACTGCACTGCTTGTGCAGAAACCTGATCCACCCGAAATTTGGTGTGAACAAGGCCTTAGAAAGGATAGTTTGGGAAGCCTTTTCCATCTTTCAATGTGTATGTGAACATATGCAAAAACTGATTTGGCCACCTGAGGTGCAAAAGTCACAGCATCCACCAACAGTGAAAGGTCAAAGTAAATGTAGCACAGGGATGCGATGATCTTCAACTCTCTTCATTCCTGAGTAGTGTATACTGAGTACAATGTTCACACCTGTCTGTCAGTTGACAAAGGAGGAAGTCCTACTCTTTCTTGCAGTCTGTGTGTCTGCAACATATGCAGCAATATACAGAAAGTCAAGACACACACAGAATAGCTCACTGCAAAGCATTTGGAAACAAATATTCTTATGAGGGTAAAGCAAGGTTTTCACAGCACCAAATTAAGTATGGAGCCTACATATGCCTGGCAGGTACAGGCACTCTCCAATCTATTATATTTTTGCTCATGGGTTTAATTATCCTTTAATGTGTAACTTTTACCAGTTAAGGGGTACAATAAGGTGCATCCCTAAATACTATATTGAAAAGATTGTGGCAAATAACAAATTATGGGAAAACAGTGCAATATTAGGGAAAATGAAAAGCTTCCATTAAACCTGCACTTTGTATTAGCTAGCTAAAATGCTACATTGCATACCAGACACCATAAACTATTCCTTCTTTTTCACTTCCTGAAATGAAGCATGCCAAAACATATGCAAATAGTAAAGTAGTATACTTTCTATAATATAGTGTAAAATGTAAATTTAATGCAGAGCACAAGTGGCAAAGTTCAACCCTTTGTAAATAGGCTCCCCTTTATAAAAAGTCTTGATTATATTCATTTACAAGCAACAGCAATAGACAATGTTTTTAAGAAAATTCCTTATCAATAAAAAATACATTGCATTGACTTTTAAAAAACAGGTTTAATTTGTTTGCTGACATTTAAAGTATAAAAATATGTTCAATTTGCTTTAGAATACATTTTCCTTTTGGATGAACTAAAACAGTCACTGTTGTTATGTCAGTACTCCTATTGCTTTTAAGTGCATAAAAAAAGGAACAATCAAAAAACATCAGTGGCAAACCAACAAAAAGCATTAATCTGGAAAAATTTACATACAAAAAAAGCATCTTTTTTTTGTTTTTGTTTTTTTAGAAAATATTAAGTGATATTGATTCATTTTCAAAAATCACATGTATTAAAAAGGCAAAATCTGCCAGTATATAAATGCATATAAATCATATATTGTAACACCACTAGCTCACTATAACACTGTACAGGTAATGCAGGGTGCATTCACTTTGCATACATATATAAATATCGTTTCATTTGAAGATAGCAGCAGTTGGTTGTTTATGCCTTGAATCTGCTTTCAAAGCCTTTTCATCTAAGTGTGCATTAAAAAAAAAAAGGAGAATCTCTTGAGGTTTAAAGATAGAAGGTATGAGGCCATGTTATATATATTTTTTTCTCTTGTAGCATCTTGGGTATTTAGTCCTTAGAGGAAAATATACTAATCCAGCCTAATTTCTCCAGCATACAGGGTTATTAATAGAATGATAGCAAACCCAGAAAGCAAACCAGCATTCTGAATGGCAAAATAGATCATGTCACTTTTTCTTCCTTTTATCTTATCTTTGAGCATTTCATTCATTTCAGGAAACTGTAAGAGAAACAAAATACATTTAGGGGGCATGACATGCTTTGTAGTGATCTTATACCAACCATCACCCTATAGGTGGCAGCAGAGACAAGGCAACACATGTATTACATTGAACTTCAACTTTATGACAAATCTGTGTCTTTTTTTTATGACATATACAAAATGCAGCCTAATGGGGGACTTTTATGAATGCAGTGCTCTATTTACAAATGTCACACCAGGCGAAAGTGTACAAATCATTTGACTTTCTTGTTCTACCTTTTGTGGTTAAACGTATGTGAGTTCCATTCTACTTCGTGTTTTTTTAAAGTCTGTTTTCGTACATTTGAACGAGGCCGGGGCAAAATTAACAAATCAATCTGTTGCATAATTGAGAAGTGATCTTGACTTTAAAGAAGAAGGAATTTTATGTTTTAACCCTTGCAGTGGGGCTACCCCTACACTTCAAGGGTTAAATGCTCATTTGTGTCTAGGTGCTAAAATAACAAAGATATACTCACCCGAAGCTCCAAGTTGTCATGGCACTCCCTCCAGCCTGTTTCCCCATCCCTGCAAAATGTTTATTTTCCTCAGCGTCCTCATATATATACATTTTGTATAGACGTGATGATTTACAGGACCTTAGGCCACTGCAGAGAAGGGAGAAAGCGGCTGGAAGGACCAGTCTAAGCAGAAGCTTGGAGCTTTGGGTGAGTATAGCTAGCTTTGTTTTTTTTAAACCTAGACACAAATGAGCAGTTAACCCTTGCAGACAGGAGTAGCCCCACTGCAAGGGTTATTACAAAAAATTCCTGGAGTTCTTTTTTAAATAGGCGTAATTATCTTAAACACTTCCGGACCACAATACGTCTATAGGCATCTATAGGAAATGGTTAAAAAAAGCAGCAGCCGTGTTCTTGGTGTCATTTTTAACAGCCAGTGATGGCTGTTAATGTACAAGCGATCCGTTGTCTATACAGCCGCCGGATCGTTTGTACCGTGTGGCGTCCTCCCCTCCCCCTGCCGGGGCCACTGTCCGTTTCCCCGTGCTCCTCTATCCCCATGCTGCGCCCGGGACCGGCTCAGCGGGTCTCCCCGCAATGATTGGAGAGAGATTCAGCGGGAAGGGGGAGGCAAGAACAGATCTTGCACCAGGGTCCTTTGCTCCTTAGGTCCACCACTGCAGGTACACTTCACTTTACCTTACCTTACACTGCAGTAAATCAGACCCATAATGAGCTTAGGGACTTAACAGAACAGTAGAATAAAGGAGTGACAGATTTTAGTGAGGCTCTGTTCAAACACTCTGCTGTATGTTGTCTCCAAACAGCAGATTCCAGTGCCAGGATCCTTGCACTGATATCTTTCAGTGCAGGAGATTTAAAGAGGAACTCCAGGATTTTCAAAACGTAAGCCTTTGCGGAGGGGCTACCCCCACACTGCAAGGGTCAACTGCTTGCTTTTGTCTAGGGTTGCAAATAAAGAAAATATACTTACCTGATCCTCAATTCCACCTGGCAGGTTATAGGCAGGGGTAGTGTGAGGGTTAAAGGCAGAGTTAGAGTCCGGATTAGTCTGAGGGTTATAGGCAGTGTTATAGGCAGTGTTAGAGTCACAGGCAGGGTTAGTGTGAGGGCTACAGGCAAAGTCACTTTGGGGATAAGTGTTGAAGGAGAACTATGGGGTCAGGGCTTTTCCCCATAGTTCTCCTTAGGGTAACGGGAGGACACAAACTAGCGTCCTCCCGTTACCCTAAGCTCAGTATACCGCGAGCTACAGCTCACGGTATACTGAGACGCCGCAGCCGGAGCGGATCCCGACATCGATGTCGAGATCCGCCCAGCTGCGTGAGTGACAGCTGGCTCTGCCTGTCTAGAGGCAGAGCCAGCTGTACTCGCCCCCTCCCCTGTCCGTTCCGCCAGTTAGCGCTGGCGGATCGGAGCGGGGAGGGGGGAATCCAGCCCCTCCCCCTGTCACGGCAGAGAGCCGTGTCAGGATCGAAAGGTGAGCGAACACCGGTATATGTTTGCTCACCTCCCGATCTACTGAGCCGACCTGTGACAGTCTCATTGTCACAGGTCGGCTAGAACTATGAGGTGAGTGAAAAGCACTCACCTCATAGTTCTCCTTTAAGGTTACAGGCAGGGTTGGTGTGAGGGCTACAGGCAAAGCCACTTTGAGGATTCATTTTAGGGTTACAGGCAGGGCTAGTGTGAGAACTATAGGTAGAGTTACTTTGAGGATTAGTGTTAGGGTTGCAGGCGAGTGTGAAGAGGGCCTAAGGGTAAGGTATCTCTCTCTCTGTGCCAATAGCTGTGCATCAAAAAAGTCTACCACTGGCACTGAAAGCTAATGTAACATAGTTTTGTGCTACGCAAAACAATGCTTTTTTTCACACAGGAAGAGCAAATGTTTTCACGTGTTACTGAGAAGTGATTATAAGGTTTGTCTTACCATGTCTGCCAGTCCAATATACAGAAACATGCCTCCAGCAAGTCCAAATATGATATTTGGTTCAAAGTTGTTTCCCACTAGAATTCCAATAACCAAACCAAAGTAACAAGAGCAAGCAGAAATAAAATTGAAGAACATAGCTTGGGGAATACTCATTCCTGCATTCAGCAAGATTGCAAAATCACCTGGAAAAAAAAGTTACAAAGCTAAGGGTGAACATTTTTACAAGTTTAAACAATTGATACAATTATGTGCAATTGCTAAATAAAGTATTTGGTACAAGATTTAATGTTTTAAGGAATCATTGGATGCTTTTAAAGGTAGATCATATCTACAGTATTTTTAAATACTTCCAAATTGTATTTATTAAACTAATACAACATTACAATGCAAAACATTGTATGTGTGGTGGGAGGCTGAGAGGAACAGATACAGGAAATGGGGTGGCAGGGACCGGAAGAGAGGAGGGTAAAAGATGGAAAATTAATATATATGGGCTATGAAGGAGCTTGCCAATGCAATACTAATTAGGGACCTGGGTAACAATACATATATTGTTGACAATATAAGTAGTTGTTGTATGGCGGACTAAAGTTTAATGTTATTGTGTAATATTTCTGGCATTTTCTGATACTGGTTTAAGTATGCAGCCATCACTCAGAGTTTGGGCTGTGGGTTGTCTCCAGTTTTTAGGAATGAGGCTTTGGATAGTTCAGTACAGGTAAATAGGATTACCCAAGGGCCTGGTGGATTGCAGGAGGACCCTGTAAAACATTTCTTGTTTTCAAACATTTGCTTTTAATAAGCCTGTATAATGAGACAAGATCACCAGATGTGCAAAAGTTAGCCTATAAGGTCACATCCTATAAATTTATGGGGCAGATTTGGACAGATAAACGTAAGCATGTTTGAACTCTTTACCATCCTGCAAATAAATGATAGCTATATTCTTCCATTTTTTTGCCAGTGGAGGAGATACTGTGTGTGCTAGGGCTATCACTTTTTGAGATTGTTCTTCTGAGAGATTCTAATTCCATTTAACAAACACAGATTTAATAAATAAAGGAGGAGAAATCTATGCACGGTAACATTTTGTAAAGTATTATAGCTTTCTGGTCTGGAAAATAACTTCTCTAATAGGTCTAAATGCTTTGCTAATGGGTAGAAGTCTAAGGCAGATCATTGTGGTCTCTTCTAGGGGAAGATGTGAAATTAATATCACAAAGGGGTTATGTACCCCCTACCCTGTGAAGTAATTGGGTTAATAAGTCATATACATTTTGATTAGAATTGCGCTATTACTTTATTATTGGGCTAAAGGTGTCACACTCCAAACTACTAGTAATGTTAAAAATAGGATCCCACTTGGCCAGAGGTCACTTAAGAGAAAGGAGGCATGCTCTTTTTGAGCACAAGCTATAGGGAGGTGGGTTGTTGTACACTCTGCCATTAGTGTACTATTAGAGTGTAACTCGAGGCAAAAGAACATCTTTATGAATGTATCTTTGCAAAAAAGAAGTTACCTCTGGGCAGGTGTGTTGGACTGAAAACAGAAGCATTGTTCACAGTTAATACATAGTTTGAACAGTTCATTCATATTTTTTTATATGCCAAAAAGTATAACTATACTGGGTGGCACTGCGACCTGTAATCAGGTATAAAGCACAGCAAGTGCTGGAACTGCCAGCTGTCAGTGACAGCTACGGTCCAGCACTAAGTCTAGGAGCTGACTTGATCAGCTACTGGGCTTCTGCTCCCACTACTGAGTGCTTGATCGGAGCGCAGGTACAAGCAATATTCACACAATGCAGAACAATGCTTCCACACTGTGTTTACATCAGAAGTGAAATTACGTCACAGCACTTCCTGATAGAATGTAGGCACAGGTAGAGCTGAAGTAGCTCTGTCCAGCCTCTACATGTAGCAGTGGTGATATAAAGCTGGTTGATTGCAGCCAGCAGTAGATTACTATTAGAAGTGATCTGTTGCATCAGAGCTGGTAAGCTGAATCGAGTCTTTAATGACCAAATACATCACCTCCATGAAGAAAAAAACAGCATATATAAGTAAAAAGAGAAAGAGCGAGAGATTTCATCAAGTTATATTTTAAATTAATAAATACATATTATCAATTA